ACACACAGACAACCTCTCGTCAATTTGCGTTTTTCGCATTGCATTGCTGCAAAAAACGCATAAAAAAATACCACGTGTTTAGAAAGAATAATAATATACACGAACGGCTAAAAAACAATAAAAATTAGTAAAACTGTGCTAAAGCTCGATAAAAAACACTTTAATTTTTGTAAATGAATTTGGAAAAAAAAGATACGCTGGAGGTGGGACAGACGTATCCAAAGTGGGGATATGTCTTGCAGCCATATCGGCGAAGCCTGTGGGTGGTGTCGATGAACCTGGCGGTGCTGGTTCATCCACTCCTGGAGGTCCATCGCTCGTTGAAGACTGCATTGCCAGATGTGGCGGTACTGCCGGTACTGGTGTACTGCTAAAAAATTACGCACATAAAAAAAAAATCAGCAACGGTGGTTTCGAAACAAAAAAGAAGCAAGAATAGTGAAAATGACCGCGTGAGCGCACCTTTTATTTGAAGCACCAGTGATGTCCAGTGTTGGCGGAGGTTTCGAGAAATCTGGCGGAGCTGCTGCGAAATCACATGTTCCCGATCCAGCCGGTGCTGCTGCTGCTGCTGCTGTCGGCGGAGGTACTGCAGTATCCGGCACCATTGGCACCAGAACTCCATCGCTGGTACCATCAAGAACACTTACGGACTGTAAAAAAAGAAACAAAAATGGTTCACTTTCAAAGACCTGTGTGGGAAAGTATATAATAAGCACTTGGAACACAGAGGAAAGTACATAATAAATAGGGCTCACGTACGGGCACGTGAAAACTATGGCGGGAAAATTCATAACTCGCGAATGAAATAAATGGTAGACTAGCCGGTGCGATCATGCGTTTTGTGCAATTCAGCCCATCGAACGATTGCCTATTAATGATTATCACTGCTTTGTAATTTAGTCTATGCAAAAATAGTTCAAACATTGGAAAATAATTAGAAATTTCACGCACTAGCGCATGAAAGCTGAATTCGAAACACTGAAAGGCGAATATCTTTCCGTGATTCCCGAGTTAATAGCTTACCCGCCAAAATTTTCACGAGGCCGTATGTGGCACTCAAGAGCGCGGGAACGCTGAATTTGAATGGGCAAGGTTGAGCGTGGACAGGGGATCATTACCCTAAAATTTCAGTCTCCTAGACTCCGTGGTTCCCGAGATATTACCTTACCCGTGAAATACTTTCGCGAGCCGTACGAGTTACCCGCGGGTAAGGGAAGGCTGAATTTG